GCGGGTGTAGTGTAGAGTTGACAGCGGGTGTTGTGTAGAGTTGACAGTGGGTGTAGTGTAGAGTTGAGAGAGGGTGTTGTGTAGTGTTGACAGTAGGTGTTGTGTAGAGTTGACAGTGGGTGTAGTGTAGAGTTGACAGTGGGTGTAGTGTAGAGTTGACAGTGGGTGTTGTGTAGAGTTGACAGTGGGTGTAGTGTAGAGTTGACAGTGGGTGTAGTGTAGAGTTGACAGTGGGTGTAGTGTAGAATTGCCAGTGGGTGTAGTGTAGAGTTGACAGTGGATGTAGTGTAGAGTTGATAGAGGGTGTAGTGTAGAGTTGACAGTAGGTGTTGTGTAGAGTTGACAGTGGGTGTAGTGTAGAGTTGACAGTAGGTGTTGTGTAGAGTTGACAGTAGGTGTTGTGTAGAGTTGATAGAGGGTGTAGTGAAGAGTTGACAGTGGGTGTAGTGAAGAGTTGACAGTGGGTGTAGTGTAGAGTTGCCAGTGGGTGTAGTGTAGAGTTGCCAGTAGTTGTTGTGTAGAGTTGACAGTGGGTGTAGTGTAGAGTTGATAGAGGGTGTAGTGTAGAGTTGACAGTAGGTGTTGTGTAGAGTTGACAGTAGGTGTTGTGTAGAGTTGACAGTGGGTGTAGTGTAGAGTTGACAGTAGGTGTTGTGTAGAGTTGACAGTAGGTGTTGTGTAGAGTTGATAGAGGGTGTAGTGTAGAGTTGACAGTGGGTGTTGTGTAGAGTTGACAGTGGGTGTTGTGTAGAGTTGACAGTAGGTGTTGTGTAGAGTTGACAGTGGGTGTAGTGTAGAGTTGACAGTAGGTGTTGTGTAGAGTTGACAGTAGGTGTTGTGTAGAGTTGATAGAGGGTGTAGTGTAGAGTTGACAGTGGGTGTTGTGTAGAGTTGACAGTGGGTGTAGTGTAGAGTTGACAGTTGAGAAACACTTTCTCGAGGAGAGAATTAGATGGAAATATTGTGCATACATTGTGTCATCCACGTACACTCGTTCACGTATTCACGGGGAGAGTGTCCATGTGTTATACATGTTGAGAGTAGATAGTCGTTGACGTATTCACGGGGAGAGTGTCCATGTTTTATACACGTTGAGAGTTGATAGTCGTTGACGCATTCACGGGGAGAATTTCCATGTTTTATACATATTCACGGGTAAAGTTTCCCTGTTTTGTACATGTTGAGAGGAGATAGTTGTTTCGCAGTGTTTTTCGAACTGACTTTATTTTCAGAAAGCTTTCGGTATACATAGTCAATTTCACGTGCCCCATGATTCCCATGAGCTACAAAATTCGCGAAGCACTCAGCGTTCGTACGAATGCTTTTCACAAACTCCAATCAAGTGCGAACATTTCAAGTTCCTGGCCATAGTTCTCCAGAACATTCCCCCTACAAATGATAGATCCCAGTCTATCATTTCACATATTAGCTATCACTCACAAAATATCATATGCACATCTATATTTGTATTGATATGCAACTAAACTGTTTATAAAAGTCTACACATTTCCTGAAAAACAAAGCAGTCATTTTAACGTTAATGTCCTTTAAATAAGAAATATTCCACTTGAAAGCATGTAAGTGAGTGAGTTGAAATTTTAAGTCACATCGGCAATAATTCAGCCATATCGTGACTATCAAGGGTTAAATCTTATAAATGTAATTAAACTTATATAAAAACCTGCCAACGAAGGACAGTAAAGGACTAGACTATTACAGAAAATGATTTTAAAACTAGTATGTAATCATTAAAAAGGATAACACTTATACAATAACATGATAAAAACGGGTTATAGATCGTCAGCCACTGAAGGGAGATCACCATACTGGGGACCATGGGGACTTACAGTACTTTTGCTTCCTGCATGGACCCCAGCAGGATTTACATCATCCCTTCAGGTGTTGGCGATTATTGGCAGAGTGAGCCTAACATCTTAAAATGACACATATTCTACGATTAAAAACATGGTAGTTCTAAATTTACATTGAAAGAAGTGAAACTTACGTAACCTCTCGAGGATACAGCCACTAACAATCTCAGTTGCTAATTTAATCTACCAATCATAAAACCTTTGTATTTTACAAGACACAATCAATATTTGGCAAACAACTCTATTTCCTTTAAAAAAACAATGACTAAACGAGAATTGATACCGTTAAAAAGATCCTTAATAGATGACGATTTGAAATATTTATCCCTTGTGATGGCAAAATCAATACACTCAAGCAGGATATGCTTGGCCGTGATTCTCTCCTCACAAGGGATACAAAATGGAGGATCCTCACCTTTCAATAAATATTCATTTGTATACCTGCTATGGCCATTACGACAGCGTCGTATTATGACCTTTTCAAATCTGGACTGACAACCCAAGAAGGTGTAGCCAATAGTTGGTTTAATTTCATGTAATTTATTTATAGGATAGGATAAGTTTTATCCCATACTGAAAGGCCTCAGGCCCATAGTACAATTCTGTTTTCGGGAGTGGTTACGGATCCGTTTAACAGGTCAAATTCTAATAATCATAGCATGATAAATGAACATTGATAGATTTTTTAGAGTATCTTTATCAGTTGTTGATATGATCGTTGTAAATTTTGTAGAGTGGGATGTACATAACAAGGCAGATCAATATATTTTCTTCTATGGTGGTCGTAGATGTAAGATCTAATCACGGGTTTATAATCAGTGTATGGAATCATAAGTGGTGTCACAGATTTGTTGAGTGCTGCCTTGGCAGCAGCATCGGCCTTTGTGTTACCAATGATTCCAACATGGCTGGGTAACCAACAAAAAACGATGTCATATTGGCCAGTAGCAAGTTTGTTATATAACACAATAATTCCAATTAAAAGTGGATGCTTACATGATATATATTAATAGCCTAAAGACACGAGAGGGAGTCCGAAAATAGTATGAATTGTTTATGCTCAGTTTGTTTTTCTAATCTATTTTAGAGCTGTTAAAATTGCATGGCTGACAATTGATTCGGCTGTAAAAATAGAACTATTATCTGGAAGTCGTGAAGACATAATTCTGGATCCAATGAGGGTGGCACTAGCAAACCGCGTCACCATCCGTGGATCCGTCTGTAAATATAGATTTGAATGTGTTATATGTGTTCCGCAATTCATTATATTCTTGTTGATAGATGAGTTGGCTTGTTTCTGATTTATTAAGTTTAGTCAATGGCAGGTCAACCTCTGGCTGTACCAACTGCCATGGGGGAGAGAACCAAAGCTGGGTTGGGGCTATATTTTTAAGATTGATTTTGGCAGCAGAAATGGCAGGTTTCATTCGTAGACCAAGTGGAGGAACAAGTGATGACTTTTTATCATACATGTCCTCATAGAGAGGATTAAAAACGAAATCATATGCAGGATTAGTAGGATTTGAATAGAGCTTTGTGAGGTATTGCATTGAGAGTTTTATCCGACATTGTTTTAGCGAGGACTCATCCGCCTCTACATACAAACTATCGATAGGGGATGTTCTGTAGGCTCCAAGGCAAAGCCTCAGGCCTTGATGATGAATACTATCTATTACTTTTAAATTACTATACAGGCTCCACCATAGATGATGGAGCCATAATCCAGTTTAGAGCGGATAAATGCCCTGTACAGTTGGAGGAGGGTTTTCTGACCATTTTCCAACGACCATTTATTTATCTTATTTAGACACAGTTGTAATTGTCTTTCTACAGTACGCATGCTTTTACCATGACATGAAATGTTAAAATCATCCACAGACTATTTATTTTTATACTGAACAATGTAACAGATAAAATACTGCCTTGTGGGACACCCTGATCCTGATTATTATGATCAGACAGGGTTGAGAGCACACAGACTTGAAATTTCTGTTTGATAAAAAGTTGGATATAAATTGAGGCAAATGGCCTCACAACCCAAAGTCATGTTAGTCTTTTAACATACCGTGCTTCCATGTAGTGTCATATGCTTTTTCTAGATCGAAAAAGATAGACATTGCATGTTGTTCGTTTATAACGGCATTCTTAACAAATGATTCCAATTAAACTAAATGGTCAATGGTACTGCGATTTTTATGGAAACCACATTGAATATTTGTTATTAAATCATTTTATTTCAAGTACCACGTTAATCTATTATTGACCATGCGTTCCATGGTTTTGCAAACGCAGCTTGTTAATGAAATGGGTCGATAATTGGAAGGATCAGTATGATAACGTCCAGGTTTAGGTATGGGAACAATGATAGCTTCACGCCAAGAGAAGGAAATTCTCCTGACGTTTCTAAACAGGATTGCGGTAAATGTTTCAAGAATTGATAATGTATATTATCAGACCCTGTAGCAGTATCATGAGCTTGCCCAAGGGCAGTACTGAGCTCATGAATGGAAAAGTCTTCATTACAATCTTCCCTGTTATCTGAATTAAAATTGATACTTTTCTTTTCCTGCTGCTTTTGGTATTTTTGAAATGTAGGAACATAGTCAGCTGAGGAAGAATGCTCAGCAAGAGTTTCACCAAGTATATTTGCAATATCTGATTTATCAATTAACAATTGATTCCCATCTTGAAGATGGTGTATGCTTGATTTAGTACCCTTACCTTTGATTTTCTGAATCATATTCCATACCTTGAACATAGGCGTCCGTGAATTTATCTTTGATACATACTTTTGCCAAGACTGGCGTTTGTTTTGATTGAAAGTGCGCCGTGTTTTAGCATTTATAATTTTGAATTTATTTAGATTATGTACAATTTGGATGGCGACGGAAATACTTTTCAGCCTTTTTCAATGCTTTCCTCTTTGTTTACATTCATTATTAAATCATGGTTTACGTATGTGAGGATTTGTAGAGGACTTCGAAATACATTCATCAGCTATTCTATTTAGTTCATCAGCGAAAAGTTGGATAGGGTCTGGAACATCAATAAAAACTACAGGTTTGAGTTCGTTTGTACAGAGTATTTCATATAAAGGCTAGTTGGCTTTAGTAAAATTCCGTCGTGGTGATGGAGGAACATCAGATGGAGTTCACTAAGTAAGTTAGAATCTACAACTGATAAATCCAGACAAGAGTAAGTGCCAGTTGCGGGATGTAGATATGTGGTAGAACCATCATTAAAAATGCATAAATCATTATTTTAGAAAAAGTCTTCAAGTAATTTACCCTTTGTATTGCTGTCAGTACTACACCAAAAGTGGGTTATGGCCATTCAAATCTCCCACAGCGTTTAGGGAGTTGGTCATAAAGTGCCTGAAGATCGGACTGTCGCAGAGAATATGATGGTGGAATGTATAAAGAACACAATGTAAATAACAACATTCAGTTTGACACGGACTGCAACAGCCTGAAGAGGGGTATATAGAGGAACAGGACTATGAATGACGCCCTGACTCACCATAACAAAAGATTCTCCAGTAACCTTATCACCCGGAGGAGAAAAGCAATGGTAGGAGTCATACTGTCTTAAATTAAAATTATCCATTGATTTGAGGAAAGTTTCTTGAAGACAAAATGCTGATGGATTTAAATCTTGAATAAATAGATGAAGGTCATTAAAATTATTCCGAAGGCCTCTTCAGTTCCATTGCAGTAAGTTAGTAGAACAACTCATGGAGGTTCAATTGGAGATAGAGATCGAGGGGAAGGTCCTCTCCGTGGAATTGGCGGAGATGGAGTGACTTCCATATCTAGAGGTTCAAAGCTGTTATAAACCTCTACAGGGATTGTCAACGGGGACGGCACCTTTATGTGTTTGAGGGCCCTGAGTTCTTTTTTCTTTAATTGTTTCCTTTTTCTGTTTGCAGTTTTGTTTAATTTCTGTACTGTCTCGGGTTCATGTTCATGTTCACAGTTAAGCACAGTTAAGCACAGTTAAGCACAGTTTAGCACAGTCTGAGGCACAGTCTGAGACACAGTCTGAGGCACAGTCTGAGGCACAGTCTGAGGCACAGTCTGAGACACAGTCTGAGGCACAGTCTGAGGCACAGTCTGAGGCACAGTCTGAGACACAGTCTGAGACACAGTCTGAGGCACAGTCTGAGGCACAGTCTGAGGCACAGTCTGAGACACAGTCTGAGGCACAGTCTGAGGCACAGTCTGAGACACAGTCTGAGGCACAGTCTGAGACACAGTCTGAGGCACAGTCTGAGGCACAGTCTGAGACACAGTCTGAGGCACAGTCTCCTGCTCAGGCTGAATCTCAGTCTGTGAGGGAGACCTGGAAAATTTGATGCTGTCTCCGGAAATTGAATGCAAGAGTGTCTGATTGTCTGAAACCCAGCAGATGTCTGTCTGACATGCACTGTCTACTTTGCGGGTAGACGTGGAAACTGCTGCAGAGTAGGAGAATGAGGAAGGAGTTGCCTGAGATTGAGTTGGCAGTAATTTAATGGCATCTGAAAAAGATGTTATTGGTATATTTTATTTTGAGAATGTGTGACTGTTTCTGATAGATTGGGCAGGATTTTGAAGATGAGAAGTGGCGCCATGCCCAAACTTCTGACACTTGTAACAGCGGAGTGGATTAGGTATATAAACATCCACTCCAATGTTGAAGTAACCGACTTTGAATGAAGAAGGTACTTTAGGAAGGGCAAATGTAAGAAGATAGGTGTTAGTGTTCACAACTCTGTGGTGATCTTTCCTGGTGAATCTTTTCACACAAGTGATTCCTTGAGATTGAAGTTCTGCAGCAATGTGAAATGCCTGTATCTGCTGATGCACGACGGGGGCTGTCTGTCAGTAACGAGATCTTGTCGAAACAAGCTTTGATTAAAAAACCTGATGAACCTTTTTGGAAACCTGTCTTCTTTATCAATACTAGATAGTGTATGCTGTGTAAATCGGACAGAAATATAACTTCAATAATGTGATCTTTACAGTTCTTTAACAGAACTATATTTTTCATGCGTAACAGCACGTTAATTTGGTAATGCGGTTGGAATCAGTGGACAGTGTTTTTTCACATGCGGATTGATACAAAACAGCTGATTCTTGATCTAAAGCTCGGAACTTAAAACATTAATTTCACTCGTGACATATTTTCCGTAATCACTCGTACCTCGTGGGTTATTCTATAATTCTGTATCATGAAATGAAAAATATCAATGTTTCAGTCACTCGAAATACTTCCTTGAATGTTCATCCTTGAATAACATCTGCTATCCTGTCTTCGTGTTCTTTGAATCCTCTATCCATGAACTCTTCTTTGAATCTTCCATTCACGAATTCCTACGTTCCTTTACGCTCCGGTAAAGGCAGTCACAAGTTCTTCATCAGTGATGTCGCCATTGCCAAGGATCGCATATACAGTGATAGTATTGGAATACTTTATCATTGCTTCAAAAGCACCCCCAAAACGTGGTGAATATGGTGGGTTAAACTTCCAAGTAACTCCACGATTGGCCAATGAGGGTTTAATGAAATCCTCATTTAGTTTGTCAACAAGTTGCTTCAGCTCTTTGAATGCTCCTGTGAAATTTGTCCCATTATCTGAAACACAAGCCTCGACAGTTGACCATTCTGTAAAAGGCATTTAGGAATGAGTCGCTATCAAGACCGTACGCCATTTCCAAGTGCACAGCTCTAGTTGCCAGGCACGTACAGAGACAAAGTTAGCGTTTAACTCGTTGCTTTCCCCTAAATTGTATTGTGATGAAAGGTCCTGCTAAATCAACACAGGTTTGATCAAATGAGTATTTCAGTCTAACTTGTTGTAGTGGAGCCATGATTTGCACACCAGGCTTCGCCTTAAGTCTGCGACACCAAGGACATTCCTTTTCATATTCACGGATCTCTTCACGAGCAGAAACGATCCAGTAACGTGAAGATAGTAGAGCAAGGATCTGGTTTGTACCAAGGATGTGCTTTCCATCTTCATGATATTTCTTCACGATTAACTTTGTTACCCAATTTCTTCTGGGCAATACTATCGGGAACCGTGCATCAAATGGGAAAAAAATTTGCATACTGCAGCCTACCTCCACATCTAATCAACCCATCTTCATCAAGTATGGGATCAAGTCCATTGAGTTTACTGCTTGATGGCAATTGTTTCCTACATTCAAGTGCCGATATCTCCTTGGTGAATTCCTCCTTTTGTGCACGACCTAAATGATACATCAATCAGTGCTTCATGACTTAGTCCCCCAGCGATTCTCCAACTTATTTCAGAACGACTGTTGTTCACAAATCTATGAACCCATGCTGTAATCCTGAGTAGTTTATGCCAATCTGAGTGTCTTCTCGGATCTAATCTCCAACACCGGTCACATGTTACCATTGCAAAGAACTGCTTTGTCGACATAACAGGTTTCTTGGCTTCAGAATCATCTAATGTTTGGGTGTCCACAGTCTGCAAAGGCCATTCTGTCACATTCTGTCATTCTGTTCCAGAAAGTCAGGTCCAGAAGTCCATGCTTTGTTCAAATTAGCAACTGTTGTACCCCCAAGACAGGATATCTGCTGGATTCTGAACAGAAGGAACGTAGTTCCATTGACTAGGAATAGTGTTTTCTTGGATAAAGGGTATCCGATTAGCTACAAAGGTTTTGAATTTGCGGCTATGGTTTTTTATCCAACATATCACATTTTGACTATCTGACCAAAGAATCACACCAGCAATATATATTTCAAGAGCTTTGACAACAGTCAAGATCAACTTAACTCCTAATACTGCTGCCATTAACTCCATTCGAGGAATGCTGACTGATTTTAGAGGTGCTACTCGACATTTTATGCCACCAAGCGACTAGACTCTGTCCCACTTTGATAGGTAGTCACGTTGTATACAACTGCCCCATGTGCACTTTCTGATGCATCAACGAAAACATGCAATCTCCTGTTCTCAATGTTGAAGTTGAGTTAAGCATCTCGGGAATTGAACAGTCTCCAACTGTTTCATTTGATTGAGCCAAAGCAACGCTTCCTGTTTCAAATCATTATGAAGCTCTTCATCCCAATCTAAACCCTTGAACTTCCTGCATGATGATTCTTGCTTTGATGATGAAAGGAGCAGGGAATCCTAACGGATCGAATACCCTAGCCATTTATCTAAGAAAACCCCTCTTTGTAAGTATCCAACTGTTGTGTGCACTAGTACTACTGAAGCTAAACTCGTCATCTTTTGCCACCCACATCAGACCAAGTGTTTTTGCAGTTGGCATCTCCTCCCTACCAAGATCAACCTCAGCAGCCCTAATTTCTATGGGAATTTTCTGCAATATCTGAAATAGGTCACCTTGTAATTTTGGACCTTGATGAATACTGTCATTCAATGATACACCTTCACATTTTGCTGATGCATCAAAGACAATGCGAACCTTTGTAGTTGCCCTATCTGGATGCAATACGGGAAAATGAGGTAAGTACCATCCACAAGGTACATCTATTTCATCAATGGACACCTTTTCAATGTAACCTTTCTCAAGATACTTAGATATGATACCATCATAAGTATCCGCAACCTGTTTGTCTTTTGATAATTTCTTCTCTGGGTTACAGAGACGTTTGTATCTACTTCCCAATTGTCCGGTAAAGGACTTGCATTTTCCTTCCATGGAATGCCAATTTGATACCGACCATTCTGGTACCTGATTGTATCTTTTACAGATTCAATGACAGATTCATCATCTTTGGAAAGAATAGATGTCGAAGGTGGAACTTCATCAACTTCCCAGAATTTCTGTAATATTGAACTTAATTTGACTTCCCTACTGTCAGTAAAGTATGTGCCCAAATTCTGACAATCACTTAATCCTAGTATTCTACCAACACACGTCCAACACAAGGGAGTTAACCGTGCTGTTGGCTCACCTTCCTGACCTGGGATATCCTGATAGGATCTATGCAGTTCAAGATAATCCATTCCAATAAGGAGATCTATAAAATGAGGAGATTTTATTTTGGAAACTCAATGCTGTCAAGGTGTTTCCATCTTCCTGCGACCCATGAAGATACCGGGTAGAATAGGTCTTCAGCAACCCATGCTTGCCGTAAAAGGTGACTATGCTTGTCGTAAAAGGCGACTAACGGGATCGGGTGGTCAGGCTCGCTGACTTGGTTGATGCATGTCATCGATCCCAATTGCGGTGATCTATGCTCATGATATTAATCACTGGATTGTCTGGTCCAGACTCGATTATTTACAGACCGCCGTCATATAGGTCGAATATTGCTGAGTGCGGCGTAAAACAACAAACCAACAACCAACCATCTTCCTGCAAACTTCTGCCAATCAACAACCTGCATCTGTCCAGTAACCCGAGTAGTTGTAAAGGCAGATATATATATATATATATATTGTAGTGTTGACTGAACCATCCAAACTCTCTAGTCCAACTTGAACTGACACAGTTTCCAATGTTTCATGTTGCCCATTCAGGACATTAACTGAAACTTTCTCTGTAGGACCCCATAACCCTAATTCTGAGGCAGCAGCTTGATTAATATCAGTCTGTGTGCTGGCATCATCCAATAGTGCATTAACAATAATTCTGTTCTTTCCATTCTTTAGAACTACCGGCACTGTTCGCAATGATACTAGCCCTGACTTGCTAGACTTAGTGGAAGACATTGTGACTGCAGATAGACCCTGACTTCCATGTTGCTTTTCAGTTTCAGGAGTTTCAGCTTCAGAAACATTGTCACAACTTCTCTTTGTTGAGTGAAGAAATCTTATATGAGTTACGGTACAGTTATCTATTCCACAGGTGATTCTGCTTCTGCAATTATTACCTCGATGGTTAGTGCCCAAACACCTGAAGCAAAGGTTCAATTGTTTTGCAGTTTCCCATCTTGTGGGAACAGTCATTGTCTTGAACTATTTACAGTTCCAAAAATGATGAGATGAGTAGATAGTCGTTGACATATTTACGGGGAGAGTTTCCATGTTTTATACATGTTGAGAGTAGATAGTCGTTGACGTATTCACGGGGAGCATTTCCATGTTTTATACATATTGATAGTAGATAGTCATTGACATATTCACGGGGAGAGTGTCCATGTTTTATACATGTTGAGAGTAGATAGTCGTTGACGTATTCACGGGGAGAGTGTCCATGTTTTATACATGTTGAGAGTAGATAGTCGTTGACATATTCACGGGGAGAGTGTCCATGTTTTATACATGTTGAGAGTAGATAGTCGTTGACATATTCACGGGGAGAGTGTCCATGTTTTATACATGTTGAGAGTAGATAGTCGTTGACGTATTCACGGGGAGAGTGTCCATGTTTTATACATGATGACAGTAGATAGTCGTTGACATATTCACAGGGAGAGTGTCCATATTTTATACATGTTGAGAGTAGATAGTCGTTGACATATTCACGGGGAGAGTGTCCATGTTTTATACATGTTGAGAGTAGATAGTCGTTGACATATTCACGGGGAGAGTGTCCATGTTTTATAGATGTTGAGAGTAGATATTCGTTGACGTATTCACGGGGAGAGTGTCCATGTTTTATACATGTTGAGAGTTGATAGTCGTTGGCGTATTCACGGGGAGCATTTCCATGTTTTATACATGTTGAGAGTAGATAGTCGTTGACGTATTCACGGGGAGCATTTCCATGTTTATACATATTGATAGTAGATAGTCATTGACGTATTCACGGGGAGAGTGTCCATGTTTTATACATGTTGAGAGTAGATAGTCGTTGACATATTCACGGGGAGAGTGTCCATGTTTTATACATGTTGAGAGTAGATAGTCGTTGACATATTCACGGGGAGAGTGTCCATGTTTTATACATGTTGAGAGTAGATAGTCGTTGACGTATTCACGGGGAGAGTGTCCATGTTTTATACATGTTGAGAGTAGATAGTCGTTGACATATTCACGGGGAGAGTGTCCATGTTTTATACATGTTGAGAGTAGATCGTCGTTGACGTATTCACGGGGTTAGTGTCCATGTTTTATACATATTCACGGGGAAAGTGTCCATGTTTTATACATGTTGAGAGTAGATAGTCGTTGACGTATTCACGGGGAGAGTGTCCATGTTTTATACATGTTGAGAGTTGATAGTCGTTGGCGTATTCACGGGGAGCATTTCCATGTTTTATACATGTTGAGAGTAGATAGTCGTTGACGTATTCACGGGGAGCATTTCCATGTTTATACATATTGATAGTAGATAGTCATTGACGTATTCACGGGGAGAGTGTCCATGTTTTATAGATGTTGAGAGTAGATAGTCGTTGACGTATTCACGGGGAGCATTTCCATGTTTATACATATTGATAGTAGATAGTCATTGACGTATTCACGGGGAGAGTGTCCATGTTTTATACATGTTGAGAGTAGATAGTCGTTGACATATTCACGGGGAGAGTGTCCATGTTTTATACATGTTGAGAGTAGATAGTCGTTGACATATTCACGGGGAGAGTGTCCATGTTTTATACATGTTGAGAGTAGATAGTCGTTGACGTATTCACGGGGAGAGTGTCCATGTTTTATACATGTTGAGAGTAGATAGTCGTTGACATATTCACGGGGAGAGTGTCCATGTTTTATACATGTTGACAGTAGATCGTCGTTGACGTATTCACGGGGTTAGTGTCCATGTTTTATACATATTCACGGGGAAAGTTTCCATGTTTTATAAATGTTGAGAATGGATAGTCGTTGACATATTCACCGGGAAAGTGTCCATGTTTTATACATGTTGAGAGTAGATAGTCGTTGACATATTCACGGGGAAAGTGTCCATGTTTTATACATGTTGAGAGTAGATAGTCGTTGACATATTCACGGGGAAAGTGTCCATGTTTTATACATGTTGAGAGTAGATAGTCGTTGACATATTCACGGGGAAAGTTTCAATGTTTTATACATATTGAGAGTAGATAGTGGTTGACATATTCACGGGGAGTGAGGCTCTGTTTTTACAGATTTAGTATATTTAATATACCTTGTAATGCACGATTGAGCGTTCCGGTTAGGGTTAAAGTCAATCCGTTCACACCGATAAGAAAGACAACTTCATTTATCAGAATTGTATTATTGGTAGAAGTTCGAATGGCCAAGTGACAATCTAAAAATACATCCATTGATTATATACCTGTTGGTTGTGTCACGTGACCTGGTGAAAAAGATAAGACCACAATTGGAGCAATATAAGACCCTTGGAAGCCCTGGAACGCCCCACATCGCCTGGATCACCCTCGTCTGGATCTCCCTACATCGCCTGCATCTCCCTCGTCTGGAACTCCCCACATCGTCTGTCATGAAGTGGCTTGCAGTGAGCTTGGTCCTGACCACCTTGAGTGTGTCGCTTGCCTTGCCTTTCAGTCGCGAGGCTAGCAACAGGGAAGCACTCATTCCGCTGGCTCACAGTCTGGGAGCAACACGCTTTGTCCACTTCATACACGAAGCCAACCTCACTGCCAACTTTACCAAGAAGGGTAAGTGGTGCTCAGTCACCAATCACAGACCAGGCCACACAGCTGACCATGTTGTGTTAGGTGCCATATCTAAAGAACGAAGCTGAAATGTGGGTATTTGTGATAACGCTGTGATATTGATGACGTTGTGATAGTGATGACCTTGTGGTGTCGATGACGTTGTCATATTGATGACGTCATACTGATGATTGTGATGTGATCTTAATGACGTTTGGATATTGATGACGGTGTGATACTGATATAGAGGATATGCCATGTATCGAGTGAAATGTTATGCTTCTCTCTTCGAGTGCCGTGGGAAAAGGAGATATTTTCACTCGTGGCTATGTCACTTGTGATAATATTTCCTTTCCCCAGGTCACGAGATGAGAGGACCGTGATCGTTCACGAGACACACGGAATATCCTATTTATCATATACTTTTTGTGTAGTTGTCCATCGGAAAATGAAATTGTGTCATTACAAATGTGAAACCTTGAAACGTAAATTCTCCCTACCTACCTCACCACCCCTTGAATAACGCGATTTAAAAAAGTAGTTTGGTGTTTGCAAAATCTTAAAAAAATATGCTGAACAACAAAAGTTCCTGTGACAATGAATAAGATTTAATGCAAAGTTATGTTTTTTACCAAATCTGAAACAATTTCGGTTTGCAACAGATAAAAGACTCCTGTAAGTGTTCAAATGGTTTAATTTGCCACACTGAATTCAGAAAATGCGTGATTTCATAAAAAAAACCACATGAACATGCCAAAATGTCAATTTACAAATCAATAGCGTGTGTGTCCACCTCTGGTTGCGATGTAAGCAACACATCTTCGTCTCATGGAATGGACCAGGCGTCGCACAATGTCCTGTGGGATATCTGTCCATATCTGCTGGAGCATGTTTCGAAGTTCCTGGAGTGTATGTGGTTGACGTCGAAGGCGCCGATCCATCTCATCCCACATGTGCTCAATTGGTGAGAGATCAGGGGAGCGAGCCGGCCAGGGGATGGCATTCACGTTGTTTTGTTGAAGAGAATCCTGAACAAGTCGAGCAATATGAGACCTGGCGTTGTCATGTTGAAAGGTAATGCCTGGGCCATGACGACGCAAAAACGGTAGAACAACAGGGCCGATGATCTCGTCGCGGTAGCGCTGTCCGTTGTGATTTCCCTCTACCACTATCAAACGGGTCCTCTGTCTTGCTGTAATCCCACCCCATACCATAACGCTGCCGCCCCCGAACCGATCTTCTTCCATGACACAATGATTGACGTAACGTTCACCTTGACGTCGGTACACTCGAATCCGTCAATCCCTGTGGCTGAGGTGAAAACGAGACTCGTCAGTGAATAGAACTTATCCCCACTGCATGGCCGTCCAGCGTAGACGCTGTCCGCACCACTGTAGACGTGCTTGACGGTGGTTTCCTGTCAAAATGGGACGTCTGGCGGGTCTTCTGGAGACAATCCCTGCACATCTGAGGCGACGACGTACGGTTTGTGAAGATATTCGTCGAAGGCCAGGGATGCTTCTTGCAGTCACTGTTGCTGGCTGGAATCGATTTGGTAGGTGTGTTGTTCGAATCCAGTTGTCTTGTCGATTATTGGTTACGCGTGGCCTGCCACTCCGAGGATGGTGTCTGACTGCAAACTCCAAATGGTGTTTCTGTGGACGTTAAATTGTCTTGCAACATCACGTTGACTCGATCCTGCTTCAAGCATACCAATGGCTCGCAGACGCTCATTTTCGGACAGGCGTGGCATTTCGTAATGTTTAATAATTGCTTTACAATGCATATGGGATCCTGTTAACGCACATGTTTTTATACCCATTCTTGGGTAATGAAATGCATGGGGCTTGCATAAAAGTAATCTTTTGCATGGAATGCATGCTTTTCTGTAGCAGTTGCGTTGTTGTGACTTGATTCCATACATGTACTACAATATTGAAAACCAAACTATATGTTTGAAAAATACACTAAAATATTGGTGTCACAGGAACTTTTGCTGTTGAGTATATAAACAAAAGTAACAAAAAAGGGTCACAAAAATTCTGTATTATACATATAGATATGATTATTTACAAAATCAACTTTAACAAAATATATTCTCGAAAAGAACGAAAAGCGAAAGAATATACGCTGGTCAAGTAACAAAAATGGCGTTTTGCGAAACGAACAGTCTCGATTGACGAGTTAAATGAGAAACTTACAGTTTGTAACTAAACATTTTCAAGAGAATACGAAACAGCATGAAGCGATATTATCTCCAAAAATGACCATCTGTTATTAATATGCCTTGTCAATGTGGAACTAACGCAAAAAGGAAGTCATCACTTTGTATACGGGCCAGACACTTACGATAAAGAGAGACAATTTAAGGGAAGGTAACTCTTGTATGACAATAGTTCCGCCAAAGTGTTATGTTCACAGCAGTGAAATATCAAGTGTTATGTTCACTGCAATGAAAATATCACTTTCCCTAACTTCAGAAAACTCAGTCTTTCAGTATACAATAGAACGTGATATTGATTACGTTTCGGAACTGATTACGTGTTGATACTAGTTTTGATAACGTCGTGATATTGATGACGTAATATTGCCGACGTTATGATGTGATCTTAATATCGTTTGCATATTGATGCTGGTGTGAGATTGATGTTGGTGTGACATCGATGACGTAGTTATATTGATAACGTGATATTGATGACTTTTTTTTATATTCACGACGTTCTGATTTGATAACGTCGTGATATTGATGACGTTTCGAGATTGATGACGTGTTATAGATGACGTTGTGATATTGATGATGTTATGATATTGATGACGTTATGATGTGGTCTTAATAACGTTTGAATTTTGATGTCGTGTGAGATTGATGTTGGTGTGACATAGTGGATGATGTAGTGATATTGATAACGTGATATTAAAGACTTTCTGATGTTGATGACGCTGTGATTGGGATAACGTTGGAATATTGATGATGTTTTGATATTGATGACGTTGTGATTTGATAATGTTGGGATATTGATAACTTTGTGATATTGATGACGTTGTGATATTGATAACTTTGTGATATTGATGATGTTTTGATATTGATGGCATTGTAATTCGATAACTTTGTGATATTGATGACGTTGTGATATTGATGACGTGTTATAGATGATGTTTTGATATTGATGATATTGTAATTCGATAACTTTGTGATATTGATGACGTTGCGATTCATACCCGAATTAACTGTTAGAATTTAGGAAGGGTGTTCGTGTGGAATGGATTAGACGTGGGCATGGACACCGTCATTGGGGGTCGAGGTAAGGGGTAAGTATACTCACTACGTGCGAGAAATATAGAAGACATTTGTGTCTCTTTGTAGCCGGGAACTTCACCCTGTTTGTGCCGGACAACGCCGCATTCAAGGATCTGTCCAGAAATATCTCAGGAAACAAGACCCTGTTAAAGGATCTCCTCCTCTTCCACTCTGTCAAGGGAACTTACACAAGAGACAAGTTCACCCTGGGGAAGAAGATTCGGACTTTGTCTGGCAAATACCTTGTCTTCAACGTCACCAAAACCAGGGTAGGACTGACTGAGTGAGTGAGTGAGTCAATGATAAAAGTTGATGGTTGTATGTTGTTTGTTTTGTTTGTTTGTTGTTTAACGCCGCACTAAGCAATATTCTAGCTATATGATGGCGGTCTGTAAACAATCGAGTCTGGACCAGACAGTCCAGTGACTGACATCATGAGCATCGATCTATGCAATTTGGATACGATGAGATGCGAGTGAGTGAGTGAGTGAGTGAGTGAGTGAGTGAGTGAGTTTGGGTGGGTTTTGAGTGAGTGAGTGAGTGAGTGAGTGAGTGAGTGAGTGAGTGAGTGAGTTTGGGTAAGTGAGTGAGTGAATGAGCGAGTGAGTGAGTGAGTGAGTGAGTGAGTGAGTGAGGCAATGATTTAAATTCATGTTTGTATGTAATAAAACTGCCACGTTCTACTGTTGTTTCAGGCAGTGCTTGTAAACGGGGTCAACATCACCAAGTTTAATCAGAGAGCCACAAATGGGGAAATCTTCATCCTTAGCAAGGTCATTCTCGAGGGATCAGGTCTGAAAAACGCAACCAATTCCACAAAGTCAAATGTGGTACTTGGCCATCAGGTTTCTATGCATTGCCGTAATGGCACACAGGGTACAAACTGCACTCACCATGGAAACGGTACCCATAGCAACGGTACTCATGGCATCTCCACATTATGCCTCAACGGGACCTTGGGTGTCAACTGCACTCACCATGGAAACGGTACCCATAGCAACGGTACTCATGGCAACATGACGCATGGCAGCATCACTCATATTCTAAGCCGGGCCTATGGCCACTACAGTACCTTGATTGCGGACTTGATGAAATCTGGTGTCTGGAGCGAGCTCGAGAGTAAGTAACACACTTACTTCTTTCAGACATTGTGTCACTGTTTGGAATTGTTTTCTTGTCAAAGTGTGCAATAATCCTTGACTCCAGTCCATGTTCTGAGTGTATAATTATGGAATGATTAGCATAAGCCACGTTAATATAATACATTCCGTTATTAATTAAACTAACACATTAACTTGACGAAGAAGAACTTTGTCATACATCCTCTACCCGTTGAGATACGGCAAAGGTAAGATACAGTGATAAAACACGTATTGCTGACCTTGTCTCTTCCTGTAGGGCCTCAAGTGACCCTCCTCGCGCCAACCAATGCAGCGTTCAGCAAGCTCCCGACAGCCTACAGAAACAACCTTGACAATCACGCCAAATTCCTGGAGAGTACGTGCACCTCTTTATTTGGCATTGCACATCATCCGCACATGACTTAATACCAACTGGATGTTTCTTGTAATGATATTTACCTCCAGTAAAGGTCCAGCTGTATTGAAAGACCAATGACCATATCGTACACAGTGGTGATGTGTGCAACGTTTGGTATTTTCAGGTACCATGATGTACCACGTCCTGGACGGCATCCACGCCCCCACCTCTCTGCACCAGAACGACATGCTCACCTCCCTAGAGGGACATCGTATCCACGTCTCCATGCAGAACGGTGAGACTCATATCATGGTACACAAGGCCAGTACACTTGGCAGACACAAGCCGGTATACTTGGTAGACACAAGTCAGTACACATTGAAGCCACAAGCCAGTACACATTGAAGACACAAGGCCAGCACACATGGTAGACACAAGGCCAGTACACATTGAAGCCACAAGCCAGTACACATTGAAGACACGAGTCAGTACACACGGTAGACACAAGCCGGTATACTTGGTAGACACAAGCCAGTACACATTGAAGACACAAGGCCAGTACACATGGTAGACACAAGGCTAGTACACATGGTAGACACAAGGCTAGTACACATGGTAGACACAAGCCAGTACGCATTGAAGACACGAGTCAGTACGCATTGAAGACACGAGCCAGTACACATTGAAGACACGAGTCAGTACACATGGTAGACACAAGGCTAGTACACATGGTAGACACAAGGCTAGTACACATGGTAGACACAAGGCTAGTACACATGGTAGACACAAGGCTAGTACACATGGTAGACACGAGTCAGTACACATGGTAGACACAAGCCAGTACGCATTGAAGACACGAGCCAGTACACATTGAAGACACAAGCCAGTACACACGGTAGACACGAGTCAGTACACATTGAAGACACAAGGCCAGTACACATTGAAGACACAAGCCAGTACACACGGTAGACACGAGTCAGTACACATGTCATCCACACAAACACGGCAGTTGTTTAATACCGTCTGACTACATTCACAGGTTTGGATAAGGAACATCCCTGAAGCAACTTATGGAAAAGGCCCGTATGTACATCCATGTGATAGTACGTGCCTTACCACACATGCTTGGAGGCTGTATCCGCCTGGCACTCCAAGCCCTGTTATTGTCATGTTGAACTGACTGGAAAACCATTTACATTGCAGGTCACGTGCATCAGTTCAACAAAGCCAGCATCCTGAACGTGATTCACGCCACCAACGGCGTCATCTACGCCCTGAACGGCGTCCTTCACCTGCCAAGCAACCCTATTGTGTGATGGAGATGTAGAGGTACCCCTGTAAAAGTGATGCAATACTGCTTGATGTAGAATGTTGCAATAAAATGTTACTGCATCGGCTGTAAGCTTCCTCCTTGAACTTATTACACATGCCGCAGCACTAAATGTCTGCAACGTCACCTTATTACACACCTCAACGCTCAATGTCTGCGACGTCGCCTTATTACACACCTCAACGCCAAATGTCTGCGACGTCACCTTATTACACAACTCAACGCCAAATGTCTGCGACGTCGCCTTATTACACACCTCAACACTAAATGTCTGCGACGTCACCTTATTACACACCTCAACGCCAAATGTCTGCGACGTCACCTTATTACACACCTCAACGCCAAATGTCTGCGACGTGTCCTTATTACACACCTCAACGCCAAATGTCTGCGACGTCGCCTTATAACACACCTCAACGCCAAATGTCTGCGACGTCACCTTATTACACACCTCAACGCCAAATTTTTGCGACGTCACCTTATTACACACCTCAACGCCTAATGTCTGCTACATCACCTTATTACACACCTCAACGCCAAATGTCTGCGACGTCACCTTATTACACACCTCAACGCCAAATGTCCTCAACGTCACCTTATTACACACCTCAATGCCAAATGTCTGCGACGTCACCTTATTACACACCTCAACGCCAAATGTCTGCGACGTCGCCTTATTACACACCTCAACGCCAAATGTCTGCGACGTCGCCTTATTACACAACTCAACGCCAAATGTCTGCGACGTCGCCTTATTACATACCTCAACGCTAAATGTCTGCGACGTCGCCTTATAACACACCTCAACGCCAAATGTCTGCGACGTCACCTTATTACACACCTCAACGCCAAATTTTTGCGACGTCACCTTATTACACACCTCAACGCCTAATGTCTGCTACATCACCTTATTACACACCTCAACGCCAAATGTCTGCTACATCACCTTATTACACACCTCAACGCCAAATGTCTGCGACGTCGCCTTATTACACACCTCAACGCTAAATGTCTGCGACGTCGCCTTATAACACACCTCAACGCCAAATGTCTGCGACGTCACCTTATTACACACCTCAACGCCAAATTATTGCGACGTCACCTTATTACACACCTCAACGCCTAATGTCTGCTACATCACCTTATTACACACCTCAACGCCAAATGTCTGCTACATCACCTTATTACACACCTCAACGCCAAATGTCTGCGACGTCACCTTATAACACACCTCAACGCCATATGTCTGCGACGTCACCTTATTACACACCTCAACGCTAAATGTCTGCGACGTCGCCTTATTACACACCTCAACGCTAAATGTCTGCTACTTCAACTGATTACACAACATACGTTACGTATGTTAACATCACTATAATACTAGTAATTGTTTCATCAAAGAACTTGACATAAGTGACATGTCAAATAATGCCACATTTAAGTCCAGTATGTTTACTGAGGAGGAAATCGTAAATCTTCCAAAACCATGCGTCAGTACCATCAACTTTTGGCTTTATTCTAAAACATGAAGACATGTTCATTCATCTTTTGTACTGGATTCAAAGCTCCATAAACATCTGTACAAAGGGATATATATTGCTGGGTCCAGCAAATGTACCACCAATTCCTTGTCACAACAAGTAACCACAATCCTTAACACAATCAAGGAAGGACGTTCTTTATATTCACAGAACGTATTTGAGACATTTGGAATTCATACCACATGGATTCTCAAAAACTCAAATGATTTGCTTGAAGTTCTACAATCTAAGAGAAGAACCAGGTTCAATTCTGTCGAAACGATTGATTTTTCAACCTTGTACATCGCTACCCAAAGTCTAAACTTAAGGAACAACTTCTTTGATCCATGAGGCCTTTGTAAAACCAAGGTGACCATAGATATATTTGCATATCTGTCTTCAGACGTTAAGGACAATTTGTCAAACATTAAAGCAAATTCCATCTGAAGTGTACTGAGTTTACAACATGTGAAATGTTGGACTTCGTCATTGATGGCATCTATGGAACTGTTTGGGGGTAAGACATGTAGGTAAGAAGTAGGCATCCCCATGGGCGCCAACTGTGCTCACCTTCTTGCGGATGTGTTTCGTTAGGCAAATGAATCGTTATTTCTGCTCAGATTGGTAAATTCAATACAAGGTAATTCAGCCAAAAAATAGAACTTAAGTTTCAGGTATATCGAAGATCTGATATCGTTCAATAACAATCAAAAAGCCAATTCCCTTCCACTGATTTACCCACCTGAACTGGTACAGTGAGTGAGTGAGTGAATGAGTATGGTTTTACGCCGTTTTCAGCAATATTCCAGCAATATCACGGCGGGGGACACCAGAAATGGGCTTCACACATTGTACCCATGTCGGGAATCGAACCCGGGTCTTCGGCGTGACGAGCGAACGCTTTAACCACTAGGCTACCCGACCGCCCCGAACTGGTACAGGAGACCAATGAGGCTGTCGCATCTGTTTCGTATGAATATGCATATACAGAATGACAAAAACTCTCCACAAAACTGTATGACAAGAGAGAGGACTTCAACTTTCCAATAGTCAACTTTCCCTTCATGGCAAGCAGTGTTCCAGCAGCTCCAGGTTTTGGTATCTACATTTCACAACTGTTGCGGTACGATCGAGCATGCTCTTTCTGTGAATATTTCAAGTGCTTCTTACAACACTTGCCAAAACGTTGATTTTTAGGTGAACAATTGACTTGCTTTTGCATGTGTTTGTGACGCGTGCCACTGAAAGGGCAGGATACACTCATCTTTTAGCGAACACCAGGTATCGTCACTATAAGTGATTCTTTACACATGCTCACGATACAGTTGGAATCGTACACTGGACTCTCCCTTTAACTCATAATAGAGCCATCTCAAGCCCTCTTTTTGTCATAGCAGAATCACATCTTTATCTGCAAAAATATTATCGATAACAAGTTGTTCCCGAAAATACTTGACAAATTAATTATGCTTCCAACTGTTGAAAAAAGAAATTGTCTGCCACAAAAATGACATTATTGCAAGGTATTTTACTTAAAATCAAATTGAGGCTCATTATCTTACCTAAAAAATCTGGTTTATAGCTTTAACAAAAAAAAATATTTAATCTCGAAACTGTCCCCCGAATTGCCCAACCCTTATTGAATGACAGACGAAACCAATGTGTCTTCAGCCTGGTAAATATACGTTCCTCCATCCCTCCTGCACGTTTATACTCAGAGATCAATAAACCAACAGCTCTGCTTGGAGAACTTGAAACTGCTGAACGTGAAACGTCTAAATGTACAGTCAACAGTAACCCCAAATAACAATAGTTATCTACTACTTCTAAAATACACCACACATGAAGAAAACATTTGTTTTATAACAAACTATGGCCTAAACTATTTAACTTTGGATTTATCAGTATTTTCAGTCATTTGATTCCCATTGCACCACGCAGCCACATAGTCAAGTGAAAGGTTTAGATCTTCAGCTGTTTCTGCAAGCACAACAGTATCAGCATAAGCGATACACATAATAGCCTTAAAGGAGATGTGGTGACGTGGCTGAAAACGGATGACTAGGACATTTCCCTCCAGGGCTTCAAACCCACAACTCTGAAATCATCAAATCTTACAAACCTGGGCCCGTGTATATGGTTGACATATATCTTTCGACCCCCCAACCCCCAAACCCGGGTGCGTTGGACGATTAAACACGTTTAAATTGCAGGATCCCTTATTCGGGTAACAGTGAAGACATGGCAGCGCTGCGTTACCAAAGTCGTCAACGAGATAGAGTCAAGATACTGGTATGTGATGGGCGTCAGCAGTGACACAAACAATTCCGTCGACGAGGGCTGTGACATGAGCGAGTTAATTTGCGATTACAATTATCATGGGACGACCCCTCTTGTCCTGTCATTCCCTGAACCGTTGTGGAGCACGTGCAGTACGTGTTCAAGAAGTTAAACTTTTACAGATAATAATGTGATAGTTTCTAAAACAACTTTCTCCAGTGATGTGTAAAAAAATAACAAACAGCAGATATTGTTGGGTACAGATTCAATGTCGTGTGCCGTTTTGACATTTCATAGACTCTTCCCGACTTTGACTTATTTGCAGTTCATCGTTCTCATTTGGAGCCTAACGGATTTGTTTGTAACTCAAGTTGTGGTAATAAGATAATTATGAAAATTCCGTGTATAGATAGGGACATTATCTGGGAGTTCAGTGATACCAACTTTTGTCACTTACCCACAAATAGTTTTAACAAATTCAGGAAAATACGAAAATAATCGGCCACCACACCCTAAGTAGGATTTATGAAATTGGTGTTCTCGGCCGCGATGTAGGGTCATGTCTTGACTGTAGGACCCCATCTCTTGCTAGGTGCAAGATAACATTGACTGTCAATATTGTTTAATTGTCGCCGGCGAACTTCCAGGTACAACTTGTAAACGGCCACCGACAACATTCGTCCCCAGGTTGAGGCTCCGTTTGTAATCTGCTCCCTAGGGTTACGCTCTATGCTACCCTTGATACCCTTCAAAGTAGACTGTTCGCATTCTGAACCATCTGATTTGCATGTCGAAATGAAAGCATTGCAAAGAATAATGTTTAGTTCACTGGGGCCAATTTCTTCCACCTTTCTTTTGTCATTTTAGCTTTGTGAACTAAATTCATCATTCGTCACCACTTGCCCCATTCCGTACCCTGCAAGAAGATTGTCCCTCTATCAATGAATGTTATGTGCGAAAATACGACAAACCAATCAAATGCGCGAATGACTTCGTGTTCTGTCAAAGAATCCCTCAGGAATAATTTTTGATTTTACATATGACTGCATCTAAAATATACCCAAGATACAGTTAAATGTGTTCAATCATACTGCATAATACCGCATGTCCCAAAGGCAAACATGTTTGTACTAAGTCCGGTTTTTGAACTCGGGGGTTGAAAAAGTCGTCAAACAACAAGTCCTCTAGCACAGACGCTGGCGAACCTGGACTTGGTGGTGTTGATCTTGGCGCGCGAGAGACAGTTTCTGGCAAAACTCGCAATCTGAATCTTGGAACTAAAAACACATTAACCCTAACCCTCACCCTAACCTTTACTCATCCTCTCAGTCAGATCTCCGTCCACTTTAAAGAGGTCATTTAGTTTGACAAGCACTGTGTGTTTACAAACTATGCAGACATAGTGTAGGTTTTTGTAATTACGTTTATTGTAAACTGAAAATCATGTGAAATGAATGCTTTGTTGATTATAACGTGAACTCATGTCTTTGATATGTTTCTTGTCTTATAAATCTCAAATCTGTGAGATTGTAGCCGTTTAACTGACCAATCAGCCTAGAGAATCCCCAATTGCACACTGTGCAAATATAAAGAAATATCTTACACTGATATTTTAGCCCATGTGGGTAATGACATTGTATACCTGTTCAGTGGTAAGTCTGCTTTTGCTGAAACTGTTCTGGTAGTCGTGTTTGATTCTATATAAGTGCTCAGTCTGTTGTTCAACACACCACCGTAAAGTTTATAACTTGCTCTTGCAAGACATAAAAGTGAATCCTTTATACGCTGAAAGGTTTCTTGGATCCTCTGTTGAACTTTTCGGTATTGGCCTAATAATGCCCTTCGCCCACATTGACGGTGTTACACTTTGGGCAAAACAGTTGTTAAAATGTTTATGGAGATAAGATAAGATAAACAGTTTGTTACAGGCATATCTTCCAGGCCTGGTGACTTCGCCCGTTTAGCAGCCACTAGCATATACCTCACTTCTACTGAAAGGCGGCTATGTCTTGTAAGAGGTGTCTGACGGGTTCGGGTTCGGTTGCTGACTTGGTTGATGCATATCATCGTATCCCAATTGCATGAATCGATGCTCATTATGTCAGTCACTGGATTGTCTGGTCCAGATTCGATTATGTACAGACCACCGTCATATAGCTGGAATATTGCCGAGTGCGGCGTTAAAGGACAAACAAACAAATTCTATAGTAATGATAGTACGTATAGACATTATCAGGACACCTAAAAGTAGCTGGTGAGACCAACGTGTCAAAGTTTACTCTGACTTGAGTGAGTGAGTGAGTTGGGTTTAACGCCGCTTTTAACAGTTATATCACGGCGCGTCAGCTTAATGTGGGAGGAAAACCCGAAATATCGCTATATGCAACAAACCAGAAGTTGTTATCCATAAAGTGGACAGAGAGCTATACGCCATTTAACAGAGAAGGGTTACTTTTTTCTCATCACTGACTGAATGTGCAACCTAAACTTGTAGCGACCTTAATATCCCAATTATATCCACCTAATCTTTCTTTAATATAGGACACACCTCCACACACTCTTTATATCATATTAGAACCACCTCCGCGCTGTTCTTTTTCAATCTGCATCTTGCTTGCTCTTTATCTCGAACTAAGACCCCTCTACAATATATGTGTGCCTCTTAGCCAAAAAGCCTTTCAAATAAAGAAAATAGCAATGAGCGTAGATCTATTGTCTCAAAACGGTATTTACCTACCGGTATTTACCTACTGATAGTGACTTGAGGGAACCATTTCTACGTCTCCCCTTATACCTTCACAGCCGGACAGCAGAACTGGTACAACGTGTTCAAGAATTCTGAACTTTGAAAAGATATATATATATATCTAACATGTGCTCAGCTATTAAAAAAATAATAAGTCTAAATATACGTCCTACCTTTATATACCGTGTCTTATCAGTCACGTGATTGTCTCTGCGAATTACACCAGAAGAAAAGAAACCAACGGTAGATAAAATTCTTTCTCGTCAATATAAAGGCTGCACTGGATCCGTCCTGATAGTTACTCCTGCAGAATGAAGTCCCTTCTCCTCAGCTTAGTGGCGGCCACGGTGCTCGGGGTGGTGATGTCTCTTCCCTTCCAGCGAGGAAAGAAACTGGAGCAACTCATCCCTCTTGCCCGCAGCCTGGGGGCGACGAAGTTCGCCCACTTCGTTCGCGAAGCCAACCTGACAGCTAACTTCACAAGGAAGGGTACGTCGATGCATGGTTGTGGGCAGGTTATTACAGAGTGGTTCAGTTGGGATGGCCTCTCCATTCTTGCAGCTGACCAGTGTAGTTACTTTTGTCAACGAAACGTAGACGATAAAATACTGACAATCATACGGTCTGAATTAGATGTAGGAGATAGGGGAAAATTATTATGTTGTATTTGCCGTTAGATCATGACGTAGGCACTTTTCTGCAGTGAAAATCAAAACTGTTTTAGGGAGCAGTACACGATTTGAGTAGTTACCTTTGCTCCAGGCGAGTTCCAGTTTTTGTGGGATTCGATGATTCATGTACATTATGACAGGGTTGTTAGCGTGGTATGTTTGTTATTCAGACAACTGTTAGGAAAACGCTATAGACAGCCCGTTTGAATTGGAAACGTATTTATGAACTCTTTAGTTTGACGTGACCGCCACCATTGATAAACACATTCTATGAAGCTGGCGTCACTAGTTGATCACTCTTAGTTTTTCAAACATTGAAAAAGCAAGAAACGTACTTCAAATTACATGTCGAGAGGTAATAGCACTCAGCCTGTTTTTTCCACTGTAACACATGAATCAATTACAACAGTAGTGGGCTGTATGAACCTGAACATGATGTCTTCACTTGGAAGGAACTCTGACATGAGACAAGGCTATGACCACAGACCTCACACTTTTTTATATTATTAATATGAATATTTGTTTTGCTAGTATTGCGAGTTCTACTATATTTTCTTCCCAATTATACAGCCTGATCCAAATAAAAGTTAGGAAACTTGCTTTAAAATGACTTTCGATTAGACAAGCAGAGTTGGCTCCTCTCTCGTACCACCGATAACCCATTTCTCATTTCTCAGTCAATATGTACATTGCCGGAGAGAATCAGTCAATGTACATACTGCCTGATCTTGACATTGACTGTGACACATACAGATTCAGAGTGACAAACAACTCCCCACAAGACTGTGTAACGAGAGCCATGACTTCAGCTACATTTCAAAACTTTAGAGTTACAATCGAGCATGCTCTTTCTCCTAAGATTGTAAAGAGGGTCACGCGACTCTTGCACAAAAGTTTTTGATCAGGGTTGCAGCATTCAAGGCTTCAGTAACGCATTGAAAAATATATGTGCTAGACATGCATGTGAATAACAGTTCCAAATATGACGCATCAGTAACAAAATGTCGGATGCAGTTCCCTATTGGGACCATATGTTCCCTGTTTTGTAAAGTGAACAATTGACTTGCCTTTGCACGTATTTGTGACGGGTAACAGGATACGCTCCCCTTTCTGGAACACCTGGTATCAATACTATTTGATAGTGATTCATAACAAATACATATGATATAGTCGGTATCCGACACTGGCAATGTCCTGTGATTACGGAAAATGTTTTGTTGCGTGTGTTTATCTGTGTAGCGATATGGATGTTGTTTTGTTCTTGAAGAACACAAGCCAGTTTGTATGGAAACGTTCGCACCTTGGACAAGAGACTCTGAGCAGTTACGTCTTGTTTTAGCCGGGAACTTCACCCTGTTCGTGCCGGACAACGCGGCCTTCGAGGGTCTGTCTAAAAACATCACACGCAACAAGACTCTGCTGGCACAGCTCGTCCTCTTCCACTCAGTCAACGGAACCTACAACAGATCCGAGCTGATCCGGAACAAGAACCTAACGACGCTGTCGGGGGGATTCCTGTACTTTAACCACACTAAGAAAAAGGTAGGCATGAACTGTACTTTAACCACACTAAGAAAAAGGTAGGCATGAACGACACACAATGTCGCCGAGATTCCTGTACTTTAACCACACTAAGAAAAGGTAGGCATGAACTGTACTTTAACCCCACCAAGACCGAGGTAAGAAAGAACGACAAACGCTGTCGTGTAGATTCCTGTACTTTAACCCCACTAAGACCGAAGTAAGGAAGAACGACAAACGCGACGTGTAGATCTTTTGTACTTTAACCCCACTAAGACCGAAGTAAGGTAGAACGACAAACGCTGTCGTGTAGATTTCTGTACTTTAACCCCACTAAGACCGAGGTAAGGGAGAACGACAAACGCTGTCGTGTAGATTTCTGTACTTTAACCCCATTAAGACCGAGGTAAGGGAGAACGACAAACGCTGTCGTGTAGATTTCTGTACTTTAACCCCATTAAGACCGAAGTAAGGTAGAACGACAAACGCTGTCGTGTAGATTTCTGTACTTTAACCCCATTAAGACCGAGGTAAGGGAGAACGACAAACGCTGTCGTGTAGATTTCTGTACTTTAACCCCATTAAGACCGAAGTAAGGTAGAACGACAAACGCTGTCGTGTAGATTTCTGTACTTTAACCCCACTGAGACCGAGGTAAGGGAGAACGACAAACGCTGTCGTGTAGATTTCTGTTCTTTAACCCCATTAAGACCGAGGTAAGGAAGAACGACAAACGCTGTCGTGTAGATTTCTGTACTTTAACCCCACTGAGACCGAGGTAAGGGAGAACGACAAACGCTGTCGTGTAGATTTCTGTTCTTTAACCCTACTAAGACCGAGGTAAGGAAGAACGACAAACGCTGTCATGTAGATTTCTGTTCTTTAACCCTACTAAGACCGAGGTAAGGAAGAACGACAAACGCGACGTGTAGATTTCTGTACTTTAACCCCACTGAGACCCAGGTAAGGGAGTACGACAAACGCGACGTGTAGATTTCTGTAGTTTAACCCCACAAAGGGGAAGGTGTACGCTGGTTAGAACACACTCCTGACAAGACTTGAGTTTCAGATAATGCCCATTTCATTAGAGTGCTGTAGATGTCGTCCACGGTGATGTTGCATAACGCCTAGCACGTCTGTCCTTTTATCTTCATGCAGGCAGTGCTTGTGAACAACGTCACTATCACTGGATTCAACAAGCGAGCCTCGAACGGGTTCATCTTCCTTGTGAGCAAGGTCATACTGGAGGGATCAGGTCTGGTGAACAAAACTAACAACAAGAAGTCTGGACAAGTCCGCCGTCAAGCATATGTCTTGTGTCGTAATGGCACATGGGGTGTCAACTGTACTATCCATGGCAACGGTACCCATGGCAACGGTACCCATGGAAACTACACACACATTACAAACACTGTCAGTCAGCCGATTGTGCATGCCAGCGGCAGATTATGTCGCAACGGGTTCTTGGGTATCAACTGTACTCAACATGGAAACGGCACTCATGGAAACGGTACCCATGGCAACGGCACATTGTGCCGTAACGGATTCTGGGGTATCAACTGTACCCACTATGGGAACGGTACCCATGGAAACGGTACCCATGGCAACGGCACATTATGCCTCAACGGGTTCTGGGGTATCAACTGTACTCGCTATGGGAATGGTACCCATGGCAACGGTACCCATGGCAACGGTACCCATGGCAACATGACGCATGGCAGCATCACTCATATTCTAAGCCTGGGCTATGGTCAGTACAGTACCTTGATTGCGGACTTGATGAAATCTGGCGTCTGGAGCGAGCTCGAGAGTAAGTAACACACTTACTTCTTTCAGACATTGTGTCACTGTTCGGAATAGTTTTCTTGTCAAAGTGTACAATAATTCTTGACTTTGCTCCATTCCTTGTTCTGAGTGTATAAGTATGTAATCATTAGTATAAGCCACGCTATTATAACACATTCCGTTATTGACTGAACTAAATCATCAAGTTTCCTTTGAGGAGAAGAAGAGATATATGACACAACCCCTACCGTTGTGTGGAGATGCGGCAATGTTTAGATACAATGATGAAACACGTATTCCTGACCTTGTCTCTTCCTGTAGGGCCTCAAGTGACCCTCCTCGCGCCAACCAATGCAGCGTTCAGCAAGCTCCCGACAGCCTACAGAAACAACCTTGACAATCACGCCAAATTCCTGGAGAGTACGTGCACCTCTTTATTTGGCATTGCACATCATCCGCACATGACTTGATAATAACTGGATGTTTCTTGAATGATATTTACCTCCAGCAAAGGTCCAGCTGTATTGAAAGACCAATGACCATATCGTACACAGTAGTGATGTGTGCAACGTTTGGTATTTTCAGGTACCATGATGTACCACGTCCTGGACGGCATCCACGCCCCCACCTCTCTGCACCAGAACGACATGCTCACCTCCCTAGAGGGACATCGTATCCACGTCTCCATGCAGAACGGTGAGACTCATATCATGGTAGACACAATTACCGTACACGTTGAAGACACAACCAGTACACATGGTAGACACAAGTCAGTACACATTGAAGCCACAAGCCAGTACACATTGAAGACACAAGGCCAGCACACATGGTAGACACAAGGCCAGTACACATTGAAGACACAAGGCCAGTACACATGGTAGACACAAGGCTAGTACACATTGAAGAGACAAGCCGGTACACATGGTAGACACAAGGCCTGTACACATTGACGACACAAGACCAGTACACCTAGAAGACATAAGTCCAGTACACATTGACGACACAAGGCCTGTACACATTAACGACACAAGGCCAGCACACATTGACGACACAAAGCCAGCACACATTGACGACACAAGGCCAGCACACATGGTAGACACAAGGCCAGCACACATTGACGACACAAGGCCAGCACACATTGACGACACAAAGCCAGCACACATTGACGACACAAGGCCAGCACACATGGAAGACACAAGGCCAGCACACATGGAGAACACAAGGCCAGTACACATTGAAGACACGTGGAAGATCTTGTTGTCAGCCTTATTCACTGTCTGAAAGACCCCATACCGTGGTCGGTCTGTTCCTGGTCAATCCTAGAGTACAAACTTGTAAACATACTGCCGATGTGATGTTAAATCTTAACTCACTCACACTGTAAGCTGCACGACTAAGCATAATTAAAAGCTGTCTCTTCCTGGCACTTCAAACCATTTGCTGTTGTGCAGACTAGAAAACCATTCTGTTTTGAATACATTGCAGGTCACGTGCAGCGGTTCAACAAAGCCAGCATCCTGAACGTGATTCACGCCACCAACGGCGTCATCTACGTCCTGGACGGCGTCCTACACCTACCCAGCAACCCTATTGTGTGAAGTAGAGCTGATGTACAATGTTGAAATAAAGAATTACTGCATACGCTGACAATACTGCTTTCTCCTTAAAAGAATATTACACACGCCCTAAAACTGATTGTCTGCTGCTTCGACTTATTACACACACCACGTGTAACGTCACACACACCAAGTGTAACGTCCCACACACGACGTGTATCGTCACACACACCTCGTGTAACGTCCCACACACCGCGTGTATCGTCACACGCACACCACGTGTAACGTCACACACACCACGTGTATCGTCCCACACACCACGTGTATCGTCACACACACCACATGTATCGCCACACACACCACGTGCAACGTCACACACATCACATGTATCGTCACACACACCACGTGCAACGTCACACACATCACATGTATCGTCAATCAATCAATCTTTATTTCAAGTACTGAAAAGGCCATAGGCCTATAGTACATATATACATACAGTAGCAATGGGTGCAATAGGAATTACATATATCGTAACAAAATATCACATCTATAGTGCAGAGGATCTGATGTTCATTGCATGATATATATACATTGAAAGATATTTTGTGACTGTTTCATTTTGGGATGACATGAGGATATAAAATTTGTCTATTCTAGGATTCAGATAAAAATATTTATGCATGTAATCTTTTCTGATATTTGCATACAATGGACAGACTAGCAAATAATGGTATTCATCTTCTATCTCTTGGCAAGTACAATATTTACACAATCTGTTTTCTTTTGGTATCGCTAAATGTCTACCTTTTTCTATTAGAAGGTCATGAGAACTACATCTGAAACGGGATAGTGCTGTTCGGAATTTCTTAACATTTATATCCAAAAGATATTTTTCGGTCAGAATGAATGATTTAAAACAGGTGTAATGCTTTAACTTATTATGTAAGTTTAGTGAAGAGTACCACTTTTGAAAATACATATCGTTTAGCCTTTGTCTTAAATTATATATAAAACGATCTGGTACTGTTACATGTTGCTCTCTCCAAATGTACTCATACCCGCAAGATTGGAGTATCTTTTTGACACCCGAGGCCCAGTTATTTTTACCTCTGCTATCGTAAAGAATCATCATGTTATAGCATTTCTTTGGGAATCTGGTATTTGGCATTTTAAGCAATTTTATCCAATATTTTATTACTTTTATGTAACTGAATATATACATTGGGTATCTCCCAGATTCCCCGTAAACTGTAACATTTGGAGTGATGGAATTTACTCCTAGAAATCTTTTATACGCAAATAGATGTACCTTCTCTATTGTATCATAGTTCTGAAGGGCCCCAGACTTCAGCACCATAGAGTAAAATAGGACTGATCTTAGTGTCGAAAATCTTAGAGAATGTTTCAAAGCTAATATTTCCAAGGGGTTTTAGGTTTTGTAAAATGCCAATTAAAATCTTTTTGGCTTGTAGTGCGGCTTTGTTGCAATGCAGTGACCAAGTAAGTCGATTTGTAAAATGTACCCCCAAATATTTGTAACTTCTTACAACCTCAAGTTTTTCACCTTTATATAGCCATTTTTCTCGTTTTGATAATTTCCCTCCATTTTTGAAAACTACAATCTTTGTCTTATCGATATTGACCTTCAATTTCCATTTGTTACAATAATACTCAAGTTCATTTATTAACTTTTGAAGTCCAGGTACTGTGCTCGAGAACATAACTATATCATCAGCAAAAAGGAGTAGGAAAAGTTTAATAGTTTCTGGATGGAGTTGGATACCCTCGTTACAATTTTCAGATATTTGTATCGAAAGTTCATTTATGAAAAATGAAAACAGGAATGGACTTAGAATACATCCTTGTCTAACCCCAATATTACAGTAGAAGGAATCAGATAAGGTGTTATTGTTTCGAACACAGACCTTCACGTTGTGATATATACAACATAGTAATTTACCAATTTTAGTACTGATACCTTGAGATTTGCAAAGGGACCACAACATGTTTCTGTTAATTGAGTCAAACGCCTTAGCAAAATCAACAAATATAGCAAACATTTTTTCTCCTTTTCGTGCTAAATATCTCTGTACAAGTGTCTGCAATACAAATACATTATCAATTGTAGAGTATCCATGCCTGAAACCGGCTTGTGCTTCATCTATCTTATTAAAGGAATCTGTCCAAAATACTAAACGTTTGTGTATAATACTGGTAAAAATCTTACTGAAAACACTCAAAAGAGTTATACCCCTATAGTTATTGGTGACATTAGTTGATCCCTGTTTGTGCAAAGGAATTATTATCCCCAGAGTCCACTGTTCTGGAAAATAAGTCTTTTCAAGCATAACGTTAAAAAGAATTTCAAGGTAGGGGAGGAGAATATCGGACGAATATTTAAAAAATTCAGGAATCAAATTATCTTCACCAGCTGCTTTATTGCTTTTTAAGTTTGCGATGCTTTCTGAAATTTCATTTCTTGTTATAGGTGAATCAAGAATATCTGAAGTTAACTGACAAAAAGAGTTATCAAATACATTCCATTCGTCGATATCAAAACATCTTTCCTCGTTCTCTGTAGAAGTTGAAAACAGATCCCTGAAATAGTTAAACCAATCATCAATTGGAATATTGTTTTGTGTATAACGATTAGTATTTAGCCCTTTAAGAGTGGCCCAAAATTGTTTAGAATCGCGTATACAATGTTCAAGTTTTTCCTGTTTCTCTTTGAAAAAATTCGTTTTCTTTTCTTTGCATACACTATTATATTTATTTCTAATATAATTATACTCATATAATGAGTTATTATCCTTTTTTTCTCCTAAAATTGTTTAAATATTTACATCTTTCCTTTTTGAGTAGCTCACATTCACGGTCAAACCACTGTTGACTAGATGTGTTAGAAGTACACACTCTTTTCATGTCGCTTGCTGCCGTGAACAAGGCCTCTGACATGTATCTAACACTTTCGTCTATATTGTGTAACACTTCGTCAACAGCCTTTTCTAATAAAGAGTAGCATTCACTGCTCAACAAGTTATACATAAATTGGTCAGCTTTATCATTGACCCAAACGAATTTGGAAGCCTTCTTATTACCATGAGCTTGCACGGGTTTAGTCTGCACAGAAGTATATAAGCTCGCCATGACAGGAAGATGACAGGATTCCGTGCGTGATACAATGGTGAAATTACACACTACATGTATCGTCACACACACCACATGTAACGTCATACACACCACATGTATCGTCACACACACCACGTGCAGCGTCACACACATCACTAATTGAAAATACTGATGCAGCGTAATGATCCGCATGAATCTGCAGTACAACAGCCCGGAATAACCAGTGGTCAAGTCACAGTGGTCCAGTCACAGTGATCCAGTCACAGTGGTCAAGTCACAGTGGTCCAGTCACAGTGGTCCAGTCACAGTGGTCCAATCACAGTGACCCAGTCACAGTGGTCCAGTCACAATGATCCAGCCACAGTGGTCCAGTCACAATGGTCCAGTCACAGTGGTCCAGTCACAGTGATCCAGTCACAGTGGTCAAGTCACAGTGGTCAAGTCACAGTGGTCCAGTCACAGTGGTCCAGTCACAGTGTTCAAGTCACAATGGTCCAGTCACAGTGATCCAGTCACAGTGGTCCAGTCACAGTGATCCAGTCACAATGGTCCAGTCACAGTGGTCCAGTCAAAGCAGAATGAAGAAAACATCCAAAGAACCTTTATTCAGAAGAAAATTCAATTTCATGCTAAATTGCTGGACATGTTGTAGAATATGTACGTGTGGAATGTGCATGTGTGGAATGTGCATGGCGCACCAGCTCACGACGCCAGTCTCAAGCTATACTCCATGTCTATAAATGAGTAATCAATCTTCTCGTTTTAGGTCCACAAAAGTAGTTTCGTGACTCATAAGCGAAGCCTGCTGAGAAGTACTTCCTGTTCGGGACGGTTCCCTGTGTCCGTGGACCAGCTACCCCAGCTCCTACCCGACCCGGTGACATGCTGAGATTTGTCACGAAAACCTGTGTTGATATCTGAACGCAGAGCCGCGACGCGCTCCACTGATTTCACTGTCAAACTGCTTATGCGCTGTTGCCATACCTGGCCGCTAGGGGGCTCTTTATCTAGGTCAGCGCAGGTAGATGTTTACCTGTGTACATGGGACACGCAATACCCTCACGGATGCGGAATTTACAAAATGGATGTTTTAGTTGTGAAAGGAGTGTTTCCATCTACACCACCTTGAGTTGGTGATTTTACACAGTGTGGCCAAAATGAAAGGGATGGTTGAGGGTGTGGCGGGTGGGGTGCTGTGTGTTTTGATGTTTATGTCGCGGACTTATGGCGCGGACTACTGTTATGTACAAGCTCCGTCATGGACACCTAGAACAGCTCCATCATCGACATCCAACACATCCCGGGTGAGACTGTCCCTCTTCACCAGCCTGAGGGAGCGCCATGAGGGTGGGTGTGGCGCCATATCACGGGGGGCTCTCCAGATGTACGTGGCAGTCGGCTGGGTCATCGACAAACTGAACAAGGGATTTATTCCTGGCATCCAGTTTGGTAAGCATGGCTGCCATCCTTACTTGTAACCACCCGTTAATATTTTAACAAGGCTTAACAGGATACATGTAATTAATAACATATATTGACTGGCCAGTAGTGTACATATATTGACGTGTAAGGGGGGCAGAGTGTTCCCGTCATAACGAAGAAGTCTAGTGTGCAGTCAAGCGTGTCACACAGGGACAAGACAGGCTTCCCAACAACGGACTGCGTATCGTGTTGCCCCCCCCAACCCCCACTGCTGACATCACTCTGTCATCGCGTGTCTGTTTCCAAGGGGGAGAAGCTAAGACAAGTAGCAGACAGCTCCTGAATACCTTGCCTCTTTACAGGACAACTGGGCGTTGTTTCTGTTTGTTCAGATCCCGCGAGACAGAATACTACAACTCGCAAACTATTCACGGTCAAGTTGACTCAGCGCCACTGACACAAAGAGACCATGAGATCGATATATCCGTCATTGTCGTAGTAGGCTGTATGTCAGTTATCATGCCCCATGTCGCATCGATAACCCATTCTGCACCATTCGTATACATATATAACACATTCAACATGTACACATTGTGGTATACAGGCACCAGTCATTCAACATGTACACATTGTGGTATACAGGCACCAGTCACTCAACATGTTGTACATATCGTATACAGGGATCAGGCATTCAACATGTACACATAGTGGTGGTATACAGACACCAGGCATTCAACATGTACACATAGTGGTATACAAGCACCAGGCATTCAACATGTACACATGGTGGTATACAGGCACCAGTCACTCAGCATGTACACATGGTGGTATACAGGCACCAGGCATTCAACATGTACACATAGTGGTATGCAGGCACCAGGCACTCAACATGTACACATAGTGGTATACAGGCACCAGGCACTCAACATGTACACATAGTGGTATACAGGCACCAGTCACTCAACATGTACACATGGTGGTATACAGGCACCAGTCACTCAACATGTACACATGGTGGTATACAGGCACCAGGCACTCAACATGTACACATGGTGGTATACAGGCACCAGGCATTCAACATGTTGTACATATCGTATACAGGGATCACACATTCAACATGTACACATAGTGGTGGTATACAGACACCAGGCACTCAACATGTACACATAGTGGTATGCAGGCACCAGGCACCAGGCACTCAACATGTACACATGGTGGTATACAGGCACCAGTCACTCAACATGTACACATGGTGGTATACAGGCACCAGGCACTCAACATGTACACATAGTGGTATACAGGCACCAGTCACTCAACATGTACACATGGTGGTATACAGGCACCAGGCACTCAACATGTACACATGGTGGTATACAGGCACCAGGCACTCAACATGTACACATGGTGGTATACAGGCACCAGGCACTCAACATGTACACATGGTGGTATACAGGCACCAGGCACTCAACATGTACACATAGTGGTATACAGGCACCAGGCATTCAACATGTACACATAGTGGTACACATAGTGGTACACATAGTGGTACACATAGTGGTATACAGGCACCAGTCACTCAACATGTACATATAGTGGTATACAGGCACCAGGCACTCAACATGTACACATAGTGGTATACAGGCACCAGGCACTCAACATGTACACATAGTGGTATACAGGCACCAGGCACTCAACATGTACACATGGTGGTATACAGGCACCAGGCATTCAACATGTACACATAGTGGTGGTATACAGACACCAGGCATTCAACATGTACACATAGTGGTGGTATACAGACACCAGGCATTCAACATGTACACATAGTGGTATACAGGCACCAGTCACTCAACATGTACACATAGTGGTATACAGGCACCAGGCACTCAACATGTACATATAGTGGTATACAGGCACCAGGCATTCAACATGTACACATAGTGGTGGTATACAGACACCAGGCATTCAACATGTACACATAGTGGTGGTATACAGACACCAGGCATTCAACATGTACACATAGTGGTATACAGGCACCAGTCACTCAACATGTACACATAGTGGTATACAGGCACCAGGCACTCAACATGTACACATGGTGGTATACAGGCACCAGGCATTCAACATGTACACATAGTGGTGGTATACAGACACCAGGCATTCAACATGTACACATAGTGGTATACAGGCACCAGTCACTCAACATGTACACATAGTGGTATACAGGCACCAGGCACTCAACATGTACATATAGTGGTATACAGGCACCAGGCACTCAACATGTACACATGGTGGTATACAGGCACCAGGCACTCAACATGTACACATGGTGGTATACAGGCACCAGGCACTCAACATGTACACATGGTGGTAAACAGGCACCAGGCATTCAACATGTACATATAGTGGTATACAGGCACCAGGCATTCAACATGTACATATAGTGGTATACAGGCACCAGTCACTCAACATGTACACATAGTGGTATACAGGCACCAGACACTCAACATGTACACATGGTGGTATACAGGCACCAGGCATTCAACATGTTGTACATATCGTATACAGGGATCACACATTCAACATTTTCATATGGTGGTGGTATACAGACACCAGGCACTCAACATGTACACATAGTGGTATACAGGCACCAGACACTCAACATGTACACATGGTGGTATACAGGCACCAGGCACTCAACATGTACACATAGTGGTATACAGGCACCAGGCATTCAACATGTACACATGGTGGTATACAGGCACCAGGCATTCAACATGTTGTACATATCGTATACAGGGATCACACATTCAACATTTTCATATGGTGGTGGTATACAGACACCGGGCACTCAACATGTACACATAGTGGTATACAGGCACCAGGCATTCAACATGTACACATGGTGGTATACAGGCACCAGGCATTCAACATGTTGTACATATCGTATACAGGGATCACACATTCAACATGTACACATAGTGGTGGTATACAGGCACCAGGCACTCAACATGTACACATAGTGGTATACAGGCACCAGGCATTCAACATGTACACATAGTGGTACACATAGTGGTATACAGGCACCAGGCACTCAACACGTACACATAGTGGTATACAGGCACCAGGCACTCAACATGTACACATGGTGGTATACAGGCACCAGGCATTCATCATGTTGTACATATCGTATACAGGGATCACACATTCAACATTTTCATATGGTGGTGGTATACAAACACCGGGCACTCAACATGTACACATAGTGGTATACAGGCACCAGGCATTCAACATTTTGTACATATCGTATACAGGGATCACACATTCAACATGTACACATGGTGGTATACAGGCACCAGGCATTCAACATGTACACATAGTGGTGGTATACAGACACCAGTCACTCAACATGTACACATAGTGGTATACAGGCACCAGGCATTCAACATGTACACATGGTGGTGGTATACAGACACCAGGCATTCAACATGTACACATAGTGGTATACAGGCACCAGGCATTCAATATGTACACATAGTGGTGGTATACAGACACCAGGCATTCAACATGTACACATAGTGGTGGTATACAGACACCAGGCATTCAACATGTACACATAGTGGTATACAGGCACCAGGCATTCAACATGTATACATGGTGGTATACAGACACCAGGAACTCAACATGTACACATAGTAGTAGACAGACACCAGGCACTCAACATGTACACATAGTGGTGATATACAGGCACCAGACACTCAACATGTACACATAATGGTATACAGGCACCAGTCATTCAACATGTACACATGGTGGTATACAGGCACCAGTCATTCAACATGTTGTACATATCGTATACAGGTATCAAACATTCAACATGATGTTCACATTGTATACAGGTATCAAACAGTAAACATTATTTTCACATCGTATATAGGTATCAAACAGAAAACATGATCACATTGCGTCACACATTCAGCATATTTACATCATGGTACACATGTATCACATATTCAGCATATTTACATCATGGTATACATGTATCACACATTCAACATATTTACATCATGGTATACATGTATCACACATTCAACATTTTTACATCATGGTATACATGTATCACAGATTGAGCATATTTACATCATGTATACATGTATCACACATTCAACATGTTGTACACATCATATACCTGACTCGCATAGTCAACATGTTGTACATATTGTATACAGGTATCAAACAATCAACGTGATGTTCACATTGTATTCAGGTGTCAAACATCCAAAATGCTGTTCACATTGTTTACATGAATCAGTCAACATACTGTTCACATAAAATACAGGTATCAAACAGTCAACATGATGTTCACATTGAATACATGAATCAAACAGACAACGTGCTGTTCACATTGTATACAGGTATCAAACAGTCAACATTATGTTCACATTGTATACAGGTATCAAACAGTCAACATAATGTTCACATTGTATACAGGTATCAAACAGACAAAATGATCTTCACATTGAATACATGAATCAAACAGTCAACATGATGTTCACATTGTATACAGGGATCAAACAGTCAACATGATGTTCACATTGTATACAGGTATCAAACAGACAACATGCTGTTCACATCGTATACAGGGATAAAACAGTCAACATGCTGTTCACATCGTATACAGGCATCAAACAGAAAACATGATCACATTGCATCACAAATTCAACATATTTACATCGGGGTATACATGTATCACACATTAAACATATTTACATCATGTATAAATGCATCACACATTCAACATATTTACATCATGTATACATGCGTCACACATTCAACATAAATTACATCATGGTATACATGTATCACATATTCAGCATATTTACATCATGGTATACACGTATCACACATTCAACATATTTACATCATGGTATACATGTATCACACATTCAACATATTTGCATCATGGTACACATGTATCACACATTCAGCATATTTACATCATGTAAACATGTATCACGAATTCAACA